GAATTCCTATGATTTCATGTCTCTATTGCTATTTCCCTATTACATGCTTATTAAGCTGCCTCCCTAGACCCTAATATCTCAGTAAGAGATAATGATACAAAAGAATCAGCTCAAAATCAACATCTATCAATTCCATGTTTTATCATCTACAACCCAATAAAGAGGGGTTGTATACAGATTCGGCAACGAATGCTACCATAATAGTGGAGAATCTTAATGGCTTCCAAGTTTGTGCACATCATTTTGATTAGGAGACACCAAATTTCTTGGAAATCTCAATCATAACACTCATAATAATGATAAATACTTCATAATATGGGCTTTTAATGTTGGAGCAAAGTGTTGCAAGTTGCTAGTCAATAAGCAGAAACATTAGAGCTAAAAGAGTTTATCTTTTTTAGTGCATAGGGCTTGGAATTTCTAGTCTGATTGGGATATGTTGATCACATAATGCAGGAGTTGAAGTGAGAATTGGCAGTTTCTGCTTACTTGGGATTGTTCTGGTATAAAATGGCGTCGAATACGACGGTGACATGTCCATCACCCATGAAGGCAACATCTAATGGAGCCTTCCAAGGGGACAATCCTCCTGATTATTCACTTCCTCTAATGGAGCCTTGCTATTCGACAATTTTTTGAGATCTGAGGGGCGATATAGTGACAGCCGTCTAGGGTTTCCTAAATGAGAGGGAACACTTGGGCGAAATTGGAGTATGAAAAACCATGGCATTCAAGGTTTTTTGGGATCTGAGGGGCGCCGTCTAGGGTTTCCTAGTTAGACACTAGGGCTGAATGGCTGTGTTCTTGTGTCTACATAGCTGGCTGGCTGTCTCGGTTTGTTGAACCTAACAAAAAAAAAAAAAAAAAGTTCTACTTTTAAATAATTTTTTAAGAAAAAAGTACAAAATTTTTAAATGAGGAGGAGGATACAAGATATATTATGTTTTAAATTTTTTTAGCAAATTGCTCCTGTTTGTCAATTTTGATCAAATTTTTTTATAAAAATTTCAAAATATCTTTTAAATAATTGTAGGTATTTTTTTTTAATAAGTAAGAATTAAAAAATAAAATAAATAATAAATAAGTATATAAATAATAAAAAAAGTAACAAAATTTGGGGCTTTATAAATATTTTAAAAACTACCCTTGTTTTTTATTTTTAAAATTAAAGTTTTACTTATTTATTGTTTTTAATTAATTATGTATTTATTTTTATTTTGCCTTTAAAATATTTTAGGTATTTTAGCATTCAAATTGAAAAATTGTCCTTATTTGTTCAATTTAAAAAATATAGAGGGGATTTTTTGAACCTTAGAAGAATATTGTACATTCTGTTTCAATAATCCAAGAGATACTTCATTAATAAATTTGTATTTAATTGTTAATTAGATATTGATTTGTTGTCGTTTTTTTTTAATAAAAAAGTAAAATAATAATGTCTAAGGAGATCGAAAAAATAAAAAACATAATACAAATAAAAAACGAAAAGAGAGAGAGAGAAAAAAAAAATAAAAAATAAAATAAAAGAAGAAAGAAAATTAGATCTTTAATTTAGTCTTTGTTAAAGAAAAACTTTGAGAGTAAGAAAAATTAGAGAGAAAAAAAAAAAAAAAAAAAAAGGATAAATGAATAATAAATTATTTTGATAAAATGTAAATATTACGTATTATACTATTACATAATACATGTTTAAAATATTATATATTATATTTTGTCAAGATCGAATTATTATGGAATTAAATACTACCAAGTTAATTGGGCATCTGTTCGAAAAGTGCATCTCGATGGCCAAGATTATACACTTAAAATTTGAATGTAAAAAATAATAAAATAAAATAACTTATATAGTATATAAACAGTTGGCAATTGTAACTAGACTAGGGTTGCAACTTAGTCAAGCCCACCCATGAACAACGAGAGTCCAACTCAATTTTTAAACGGGTTTGGACATTTTTTACCTGACCTAAATTCATGTTGGGCTCAGAAGGAAATGTTAGACAACTTAATCCCAACCCAAATTGACATTTTTGCTCTCTATGTTTTACTTTTTCTGTTCCAAAATAGTGGATAGTAATTTCTAAAGTATCTAACTATTTTGGCCTATTGGGACAGAAAGAGTAGCATAGTATCTTTGCCTTTGCAACTTTATACAAAAGCTAATTTAGGTTTTGTTTGGTTCGCATTTTATTTTAATTCGAAACAAAACAAGTATAAAACATATTTGGTAACGTCTATTTATTGCAAGATTTTTGGAAGTAGCAAGTTTAAACAATATAATAATTTTTAAACTAATCATTATATACACATTGCTAGAGTATTGAAACATGAAAAAATTCCAAATTAATATTTAGATTTTTGACAGCTATTTATGAAACATTTCGATACTGGTCCTTATCCGACAAAAACAAAATGCATACCAAACAGGCCCTTAAAGTCTCTTGCCCTTGGTTTAGTTTTAGATTATCCCATACCTTAGGTTTAGTTTTAGATTATCCCATAGTTTAGTTTTAGATTAGACTGACTTGTACAACTCTCATAGTTGTGCCTTCATGTATTACGTACAATCCTTATTTATCCCGATCATCAAATTTAGCATGGTGTTAATGAAATGAAATAGCTCTAAATGCAGCTAAAACCTTTCCAAGTTTCAAGGGCCCTTTCTGTGAGGAATTAAAAAGGAGATAGGATTCAAGGAATCAATTAGTAAACTCATAGAGAATATTCAAAATAAGTGAAACTTTATCAATCTGAGTTACAAAAAGACACTATCTATTCTGAGCCAGGTATGGTTGGCACTATCTATTTGACATTGCAAAGTCATTTTCCGAGCTAAGGCTGAGACCTGGTCCATAATGGCTCCTCTCAAGGTACATGTTAACCAAGATTAGGGCTAAAGTTACTCAAAGTAGTCAGACCAAGTCACTCCATTAAAAAAACATAATTTTCCAAGACAAAGGATAGCAAGAAAATGCCAGAACGTTGATGTCAAAGGCTCAATGTCATCCATTAACCATTAATTTCTTGTAAGCACTTTATCACAATTGACAATAAGGTAATGCTAAACATTAGGTTAAAAATAGCCAAGTATGGATGATTGCCTGCAACTTTGGGATAACGATTTAGGGACCCTGCCGACCACCATCGACTAAAGTCCAATAGATGGTAGTCTTCTTATTGCTTCTTTCCCTTCCTTTTTCCAAAAACTGTGTGTGTGTGTGTGTGTGTGTGTGTGTGTAAGAGAGAGAGAGAGAGTGGTTATGCAATTGGTGCTGCAAATCACAGTATTGTTGTGGCGAACAAAAGCATCATCAGCATTAGCAGCATCACTAGCAATAGCAAAGCCTGGTTGCCAAGAAAAATGCGAAAATGTTTTCATTCCTTTCCCATTTGGTATTGGACCCAATTGTTCTTATGAAGAGTCGTTTGTGATAATAAGCTGCAACACATCTTTCGACCCACCCAAACCTTTCATCACTATCATCAATGCTGAGATGCTTGAAATCCCATTATCAAAAGGCACTGTTCGCATCAACAAGAAGGTAATCACTTCTAATTGTGTAAACAAGGTTAGTAACTATGATGTGGACACGTATGCTACTGTTTTACCTTCTCAGACACTTACAACCGATTCACGGCCATGGGTTGTGACAACCTCGCCTTAATCAACTCGGGAGAAATGGCCATGGGATGCGTGTCCAACTGCAATGTTACTTCAACAGATAAAAGATGCCTTGGCATCAACTGCTGCCAAACCGCAATCCCTCCATCAATCCGGTCTCTCAATGCATCGTTCAGAAGCATAGATTCGAACAAGGATAATAAAGGGTGCAAATATGCCTTTATCGTGGAGCAAGATTGGTTCGCTAACTTGACAGACCCCTATGCTGTGCAGAAAATGGAGGTGGTCCCTGATGTGCTAAATTGGTATGCATATGGGTACTACAATTCATCAGGTGTGTATACATTTGGGAAGTCATTATGCAGCACTAATGTTTCCTGCACTTCCGCTCCCTATCAAAGCACAGGAGGTTATCTATGCCGTTGTGACCCTGGCTATGAAGGAAACCCATATCTGCCTGATGGATGCCAGGGTAAATTTCTGCACTGCAAATTTTCAGTTTAGTTGTGCAATACTGAAGCACATCTTCATCACTTGATTACGAAGAAAAGCAAAAACCTAGCCACTTGGCACAACATAAGCATGCATAGCACATGCCTCAACTACTCTGTATGCAGTCCTGTAGCAGTTGGTTAGACAAACATGCTAATAACTTATTTTGTTTGATTTTGCATGTCAGATATTGATGAATGTGCAACGAAAGAGACCAATACCTGTGAGAAGATCCGTGAGAATACAACTGGGAGTTACAAGTGCCATTGTCCACCTGGGTACTTACCTTTTGGACTTAATGAAAGTAATTGCTATAAACTCGAGGTACGCAACAAAAATGGGATAATTATTGCAGGTATGAACACCCCCTCCCCTCTTCTGCGCCTGATCAATTAGGTTTGAGTCCATATAATAAAGAACTTAATTTTGAGCCAAAATGAAGAAGAAAGGAAGAAGAAGAAAAACAGACACACATACTAGATTTTTTAATCTGTCAACGCGATTTTTTAAGCTCTCCAACTACTATAGATAGGAAATGTGGCAGCAATCAATGTAGCTCCAAAAAGTAACAATATCAATTCAAAGTCAAAAATTATTTAATATTGCTAACAGAATTCATTTTAGTTATTCCTAGTTACTGTTGACAGTTTAATTGGGTAGTTCTGCACTCACAATAAAACTATGTAGCAAGGATATAGTCCCATTGCAGCACTCTCCTTACAACTTGCTGCCTATTTAAACACTAGAATACTGGAAATGACTTGTTTTTCTTATGGAAATAGATGGGATATGAACGAACCTAGGAAATATTAGCATATGCAAGTATTTTTTTCACTCAAGCATAAATTTTTAGATTGAAAAGATGTTTCTTTCCAATTGAGTTCTGCAGGTACTGGAACAGGTCTCGGAATACTATTTTTACTTGGTACATGGTGGATGATTAAGAGGTGAAGGTAATGTTGAGAAAACCAAACTCTTCTCTTCAAAGGAGTTGGAAAAGGCCACTAGCCACTTTAATAAGAATCAAATACTAGGGCAAGGAGGCCAAGGTACTGTTTGCAAATGCATGTTAATAGATGGTAAGATTGTAGCAGTTAAGAAGTCCAAAATAGTGGATGAAAACCAACTTGAGCAATTTATTAATGAGGTGGTCATTCTATCACAAATTATCCATAGAAATATAGTCAAGCTACATGAATGTTGTTTGGAGACTGAAGTACCTTTGCTTGTTTATGAATTCATCCCTAATGGAACCCTTTTCCAGTATATCCATGACCAAAATGGAGACTTCCCTCTTTCCTGGGACATTCGTGTTCGGATTGCTATAGAAGTTGCAGGAGCTCTTTCCTATCTACACTCAGCAGCTTCCATGCCCATTTATCATCGAGAGATCAAGTCCACAAACATACTGTTGGATGATAAATACAGAGCAAAAGTGTCCGACTTTGGGACTTCAAGATCAATTGCGGTTGATCAAACTCACCTGACCACAAAAGTACATGGGACCATTGGATACTTGAACCCTAAGTACTTCCAATCAAGTAAATTTACAGAGAAAAGCGATGTTTATAGCTTTGGAGTAGTTCTTGTTGAACTCTTAACCGGACAAAAACCGGTCTAATCATTCAGATCTGAAGAATGGCGAAGTTTAGCAACATATTTTATATTGGCAATGAAGGAGAATCGTCTATTTGATATTCTTGACGCTCAAGTTGTGAAAGAGGGTGGGAAAGAAGAGATCATGCAAGTTGCTAATCTTGCAAAAAGATGCTTGAACTTGAATGGGAGTAAAAGGCCTACAATGAAAGAAACTGCAATGGAGTTGGAAGCCATTAGAATGTCAAAAGGAGCATCTACTATTCTACAAAACTATGAAGAAGTTGAATGTCCGGTTGCTGAACTCAATGGTCCTTGGGATGCTGCTTCAAATTCAATGGGATCTTATCTGGATAGTAGTAGTGTATCATCATCTTTAGATGTCCAATATCTGTTGTCTAAGTAAATATGATTGCTAAGGCCCTTTTTTTCTTTTCTTTTTTTCTGGTATATGATAAGAAATACTCTTACCTTCTGTTTCTTTAGAGTGTTTATTGGTATTGTTTTGTACCTACACTTGAATTAATGTTTCTTTATAACGTTTATTGGTATCATTTTGTACCTAAACCTAAATTCTATACAACGCTTTTGGAATTGGTTAAGTAACGATATATCTCCAGTTGTTTTATGGTGCCATAATTGAGTTATGCACATTACAAATAAGAATTGATGTTACACCAATATGATACCAATGCACCAAATTATACTGGTTCACTATCAACCACCCAAAGGAGATGATCCAAAGAAATAATTATTAAAAATTCAATCAGACATTCCTCCTTGAATCAGACAAAGAAAGAAGGGAATCCTGTTGTATTCTTATGTTTCATGTCTCTATTGCTATTTCCCTATTACATTACTAAGCTGCCCCCTAGACCCTAATATCTCAGCAAGAGATACTGATACAAAAGAATCAGTTCAAAATCAACATCTATTCCAAGAAAAACTCTCTTCTACAACTTTCTGGTAGTGTACTACAACCCAATAAGGGCAAAACAGCACTCAGAAATCACATTGAATGCATTGATAGCTAAAAGGCTGCATCACCTCAGATGATCAGCTACCAAGATAGCCAAAAACCAGAACATAGAAGTATGGCAAGGGAAAAGAAAGAACAAAAGAACACTTGTAATGTAACGAAATTAGAGCACCATTAGAAATACCGATGGACTCCGAATTTAGTGCAAGGGTAGCAAATTGCATTTATGTCCCAGGATAATTAGGTTGCCCCTTTTAACCCATGACAAACATAAGATAGAATAATGGCCAAAACAACCACTTGAAACCGAAAGAAATTAGAGCACAACTAAAAATGTGTGGTAAAGTCCAAGGCTAAATATGAATCATATTATATGCCACAATCTCTTGACAATGAACAAAATGGATTTAGAAGGAACTTAAGTTACAGTTCAGTTACAATGATGAGGAGGACTTGCAAAAGAAAAGGAATGCTACCAGAATAGTGGAGAATCTTAGTAGCTTCCAAGTTTGTGCACATAAAGATATATAGGGGCACTTGGTCTAAATGTATATACATTGATGACATGTTTCAACTCAATTTACAAAATATTCATCACAACAACATGGTAAAATATGAAATTTTGGAATGATTGAAGTAAACAAGAACCAAACTATGGAGAGTGACAGAGTTTAGCTCCATTATTCTGAACAGTGCTGAAGTGAAGATACACCCAGAATTAAACAAAGTCAACATCCTAAAAACTGAATCTTAAATTCCCATTGTATGGGTATCGCTTATAAATTAAAATTATATTGGCAATTAAAGAAAGGGATTGAAACTGAGTGTGCATGAAACTCGTCAAATCGTGTCTGTCCTCATCCTCAGAACTGATCAATTGGGATCCACACAGGCATATATATATATATATATATATATATATATATATATATATATATATTACACAAAATTATTCAAAAAGCAAATTTTTTGATCCAAAGAGATGAAATATATAGCAAGAAACAATCATAAACATGAAATTAATGGTTCCAAAGAGAAATTGATAAAATAAGTTGTTGATTCCTAACTGACCTCAGATTCAACTGAAAGCAAAAGGAAGATGAAGGGAATTGCAGAGCACACACGCAAAAACAATACAATACCAATTTCTCGATTAGTGCGTGTCTTCCTTATACAAACTGTAAGATATTGCCATGTGTAAGCGATGTGGGAATCAAGTTAAATAAATATAATTATTTGGGTAAAGTGAAAAAAAAAATCCCCTAAGATATACTTCTGTTTTTTCTTTTTTTCAAGTGCATATAACACTTTGTATTTTGAAAATTTATAGTTGTCAATTTTGACCAAATTTTTTTATAAAATTTTAAAATATCTTTAATAAAATTTTAGGTATTTTTTTTAATTAAAAAATAAATAAATAAGTATATAAATAATAAATAAAGTAATAAAATTTGGGGCTTTATAAAATTTTTAAAAAATACCCTTGTTTTTTAATATTTTTATATTTTTTAAATTAAAGTTTTATTTATTATTTTTAATTAATTATGTATTTATTTTTATTTTGCCTTTAACATATTTTAGGTAGTTTAGTCTTTAAATTGAAGAATTGTCTTTGTTTAATTTTAAAAATATATAAGTAATTTTTTGAATACTAGAAGAATATTCGTACATTTCTATTTCAATAATCCAAGAGGTATTTCATTAATTAGATATTTATTTGTTATGATTTTTTTTATTTTAGAAAAGTATAAAATAATAATGTCGAAGGAAATCGGCAAAAAGAGAGAAAACATAATACAAATACAAATAAATTAAAAAAAAAACGAAAAGAGAGAGAGAGAGAATTAAATCTGTAATTTTGTCTTTGTTAAAGAAAAACTTGAGAGTAGGAAAAATTAGAGAGAAAAAGAGGATAAAAGAATAATATAATATTTTGATAATATGTAAATATTACTCATTATAGTATTAGAGAATATATGTTTAAAATATGAGTAATGATAGGTCTTCCGATTTCAATTGTCGATTCCTCCTCCGAATACAACGTGGTTGGAAATAAGTCGAAGAGAAAGAAATATTTACGGAATTTCTTTTAAGAGTTTCAAAATGATCCAACCACGTTGTATTCGTAGGAAGAGTCGATAATTGAAATCGGAAAACCTATCATTTTTCTTAAAATATTATATATTACATTTTTTCAAGATCAAAGTATTATCAAATTAAATACTACTAGTTAATTGGGCATCTGTTTGAAAAGTGCATCTCGATGGCCAAGATTATACACTTACAATTTGAATGTAAAAAAAATAATAATAAAAAACTTATATATTATATAAACCGTTGGCAATTGTAACTAGACGGATTGCAACTTGGGCAAGCCCACCATGAACAACGAGAGTCCAACTCAATTTCTAAACCGGTTTGGACAACACTTTTTGTTGTGTGGGTTGAAATTTTTTTACCTGACCTCAATTCATGGTGGGCTTAGAAAGAAGTGTTAGACAACTTAATCCCAACCCAAAATGAACATTTTTGCTCTTTATCTTTTAGCCTAGTATCTTTTCCTAATTTGCAGCTTTGTGCAAGAGCTAATTTAGGTCTTGTTTGATTCGCATTTTTTTTTAATCTGAAACAAAATAAGTATATTGTTGTAGACTATTTTGAATAGTAATCGGAAATATATTTGCTAACATCCATTTATTGCAAGATTTTTGGAATTAGCAGATTTGAAAATATAATGATTTTTAAACTAATCATTATATTTTTCAAAAAAAAAAAAAAAAAAATGGCTGCTATAGTGTTGAAACATGTAAAAATAACAAATTGGTATTTTGATTTTTGACTACTATTTATGAAACGTTTCGACACTATGCCAAGTTCAAGGGCCTCTCATCGAGGAATTAAAAAGTAGATAGGATGCAAGGAATCCATTAGTAAACTCATAGAGAATATTTTAAATAAGTGAAACTTTATCAATCTGAGTCACAAAAGGATACTATCTATTCTGAGCCAGGTATAGTTGGCACTATCTATTTGACATTGCAATGTCATTTTTCGAGCTAAGGCTGAGACCTGGTCCATAATGGCTCCACTCAAGCTACATGTTAACCAAGATTAGGGCTAAAGTTACTCAAAGTAGTCAGACCAAGTCAACCCATTAAAAAAACAAAATTTTCCAAGACAAAGGATAGAAAGAAAATGCCAGAATGTTGATGTCAAAGGGTTAATGTCATCCATTAAACATTAATTTCTTGTAAGCATTTCATCACAGTTGCCAATAAGATAATGCTAAACAATAGGTTTAAAATGGCCAAGCATGGATGATTGCCTGCAACTTTGGGATAACGATTTACGGACCCTTCCAACTGCCATCGACTAAAGTCCAATAGATGGTAGTTTTCTTATTTCTTCTATCCCTTCCTTCTTCCCAAAAACTATGTGTGTGAGAGAGAATGGTTATGCTGGTGCTGCAAATCACGGTATTAGCAGAATCATCATCAGCATCATCAGCATTAGCAGCATCACTAGCACAGCCTGGTTGTAAAGACATATGCGGAAATGTTATCATTCCTTTCCCATTTGGTATTGTAGCCAATTGTTATTACGAAGAGTCGTTTGAGATAAGTTGCAACAAATCTTTCGACCCACCTAAACCTTTCATCATTATCATCAACCTTGAGCTATTTGAAATCTCATTATCAGAAGGCACTGTCCGCGTCAATAACCCTTTAATGACTTCTGATTGCGAAAACAGGACCAATAATCAAGCTGTGTCCATGATTGGTACTCCTTTTTCTTTCTCAGACACCTACACCCGATTCAACTGGCAAGGAATGGTGCGCCATAGGGTGCGTGTCCAACTGCAATTTTACTTCAAGAGATAAAAGTTGTTTTGGCATCAACTGCTGCCAAACCACAATCCCTCCATCACTCATGTTTATCAATGCATCTTTTAGAAGCATAGATTCAAATGATGACAATAAAGAGTGCAAATATGCGTTTATGGGGAACCAAGAATGGTTCACTAACCTGACAGACCCCTATGCCGTGCAGGAAATGGGAAGGTCCCTGCTGTGCTGAATTGGTATGCATACGGGACGTGCCAATCATCCGTTGTACATGCATATGGAACGTCATCATGCAGCATGAAAGCTTCCTGCATTTCCCCTTCCAATAACAGCTTAGGTTATCTATGCCAGTGTGATCGCGGCCATGAAGGAAACCCATATCTGCCTGATGGATGCCTAGGTAAAATTCTGTAATTAGTAAATTTGCACTGCGAATTCAGTTTAGTTATGCAATACTAGAACATATCTTAATCACTTGATTATCAAGAAAAGCAAACACCTAGCCACTTGTTTTTAATAACTTCTAGCAATACCTACACAAGTCATAATCTATTGTCACACTTCTGTATTTGGCACATATCATATGCATCAACTACTATGTGTGTAGTCTAATGTGCAGGTGCGTAGACAAACATGTTAATAACTTATTTTATTTGATATTTCATGCCAGATATCGATGAATGTGTGATGACAGAGGCCAATCGCTGTGACATGAATTGTTCAAATACGCCAGGGAGTTACGAGTGCTATTGTCCACCTGAGTACTTCAAGGTTGGATATTATTCTTGCTATAAACTCAGGGGCAATGAAGGCAACATAAATGCGATCATTATTATAGGTACATCCTGGGGAAAAAAACACACACACATTAATTATCGAAAAAAAAAAAAAAATACATACACACACACAAACATTAAAAATTTTAACCTGTCTTTTTAACACAAATAGGATTCAACTTTGCAAACCTTGAATCCCTTAGGAAATATGATAGCAATTAATGTAGCTCCAAAAAGTAACAATATAGTCTAGATCAATTTTGTGAACTAATTGCTTCAATTCAAAATCAAGTTTAATTTAATATGGTTTAACTGAATTTATTTGAGTTGGTTCCTAATTACTGCTGGCAATTTTAATTGGGTAGTTCTGCACTCATAGTAAAACTATGTAGCAATGACATAGTCCCATTGCACTTACTTCCCATTGCAGCACTAAAACCTTACAACTGACTGCCTTTTTAAACACTAAAATTTTTGTCTTTCTTGTGGGAATAGATAGCGAGGCTAGGAATTATTAGCATATACAAGGATTTTTTTCCTCTCAAGCATAATTATTTAGGTTGAAAAGGTGATTCTTTTCTATTGAGTTCTGCAGGCACTAGAACAGGTTCCGGAATACTATTTGCACTTAGTACATGGTGGATGATTAAACAACCGAAAAGAAGAAGGAAAACTAAGCTCCAGGAAAAATTCTTTAAACGAAATGGGGGTTTGTTACTATAACAACAATTGTCTTCAGGCGGAGGTAATGTTGAGAAAACCAAACACTTCTCTTCAAAGGAATTGGAAAAGCCCACTTACCACTTTAATGAGAATTGAATACTAGGGCAAAGAGGGCAAGGTACTGTTTACAAAGGCATGTTGACAGACGATAAAATTGTAGCGGTTAAAAAGTCCAAAATAGTGGATGAATGCCGACTTAAGCAATTTATTAATGAGGTGGTCATTTTATCACAAATTATCCACAGAAATGTAGTTAAGCTACATGGATGTTGTTTGGAGACAGAAGTTCCTATCACGACCCGAAAATTCAAATAAAATCCTCAATTCATTCAAATACGAATACATCACTATACTCCCATTATCATAAAAAAAAATGCCCTCTTTTATACAAAAATCAATTTATTCAAATATACAAAAAAATTCTCCAAATAAATAAAATAAATCATGCAACGCCGACTCTTCCACCTAAGCTTGAAACTAGCAATCCACGTTCATCTTTTGTACCTGAAACTGGAGGGTGGTGAGACAGAAAGTCCCAATAGAAAAAAACCATAACAAGAATTTCATGAAGGTTTAATACAACAACTTCACAAAATATATATATTCAGGTGAATATATAAACAAAATACATATGCATTTAATTAAAACATTTAATAAAATCATTTGAAGCAAAACCACCCCAAGCCATTCAAGGTATAGAGAACTCTACCATGAAAAATAAATCATTCCACAAATAAACACCAAGTCACCATGTCTCGGCCTCTCTGCAACTCTCCTCTCTCTCTATCCTCAAACTCTCTCTGTTTTCTAATTTTTCTCTTCTCTGTCTCATCTTTATTCAGTGGCATGAACACACATTTAAATAAGCAAATATCCACCGACACACTTCACACAAAAGCTCACCACACAAACAAAATATCAAAGATAATCATCAAAAGTGAACCCCGCCACCACCACCTTCTTTTTTCCTTCTTATCATTACATCTATCAGATTCTATACAAAATATATCACAAGTAAACAACAACCCACGTGAACAATTCAAGGCCAGAAGATTTTTGGTCAAACAAAACTCTTTAGTGGGACCCGCCACTAACACATCACCATAATCATAATCCCCTAGTGGGTCCCACGCCAAAACCATTTCTCTTTTCCTTTTCCCTTCCTTTTTCGGTGGCCTGCTGCTACCTTCCTTCTTTCTTCATACAATATATATATATATATATATATATATATATATATATATATATATATATAGCACAAAACCAAATAAACTTCTAAAAAAAATCTCCTAGTGGGTCCCATCACATCATTACCCTTATCTCTCTTTTCAGCCAACCTGTTCCCTTTTCTTTCTTTCCTTCAATTCGACTACCACCTTATCCCCTTTAGATGCTACAATATATATATATATATATATATATATATATATATATATATATATATACAAATGTAGCAAAAATCAAACTAACCCATTAAATAATTCATGTGGGTAAATCTCCAATAAAAATTAAATACTCAATCTTGACTAAAAATCATGAAATATAATTTAAATATAAATCTTAAAAATCCGGGTTGTCACAATTCCTCTGCTTGTTTATGAATTCATCCCTAATGGAATCCTTTTCCAGTATATCCATGAACAAAATGAAGAATTCCCTCTTTCCTGGGGCATTCGTATTCGGATTGCTATAGAAGTTGCAGGAGCTCTTTCGTATCTACACTCAGTAATTTTCATACCCATTTATCATCGAGACATCAAGTCCACAAACATATTGCTGGATGATAAATACAAAGCAAAAGTGTCTGACTTTAGGACTTCAAGATCAATTGCAGTTGATCAAACTCACTTGACCACAAAAGTACTGGGGACCTTAGAGTACTTAGATCCTCAGTACTTCCAATCAAGCCAGTTTATAGAGAAAAATGATGTTTATAGCTTTGAAGTAGTTCTTGTTGAGCTCTTAACAGACAAAAACAGATTTCATCAACCATACCTGAAGAATGGCGAAGTTTAGCAACATATTTCATATTGACAATGGAGGAGAATCGTCTGTTTGATATTCTTAATATTCGAGTTTTGAAAGAAGGTGGGAAAGAAGAGATCATGCGAATTGCTAGTCTTGCAAAAAGATGCTTGAACTTGAATAGGAGAAAAAGGCCTACAATGAAAGAAGCTGCAACAGAGTTGGAAGCGATTAGGATGCCACATGGAGCATCTATTATTCAACAAAACGATGAAGAGAATGAATTTGTGGTAGCAGAATTCACTGGGCCTTGGGATGCTACTTCCACTTTGACAGGATAGTAGTATATTATCATCGTCAAATGTCCAATATCTATTGTCCAAGTAAATATGATGGTTAAAGCCATATATTACATGTTCTTGTTTGAATAATAGTGTATAATCACTGAAAGATTTTCCTACTTCTAGTGTTTAAGAAATCATCATCAGCAAGAAAATTTTATTGTCCTCTTATCTTATTTTCCATCTTATGTAAGCTAATCACAATGAAAAATAGTCTTAATGCTTTTTTTTATACATCTCTTCTGCTGTTTTCTAGTGCTCCAGTTATGTTATGCCCATTTTGAATTAGAATTGATGAATTCTCTTATATGTATCGACCAATATGGGATCCCTATATAAACTAATATGGTCAACATAATATACAGATGCACCAATTTCTTCTGGTAGGTATTAACTACCCAAAGGATATGGTCCAAAGACACTCTCCATTTGGCCATATCTAAAGAAAAACAAAATATATTATGATTATTAAGAACTCAACGGGATCTTCTCCCTCAAATCATACAAATAAAGAAGGGAATCCCTTTAAGTTCTTACGTTTTCATGTATCTATGTTTATTTTGCTATCGGCAAGAGATAGATTATAGAAAAGAAACAGCTCAAAATCAAGATCTATTCCAAGAAAAACTTTCTTCCACAAAATTTCGCTAGTGTATTAGTCTTCATCAATACTATACTTCATCCAAATAAAGGCAAAATGGCGCTCAGAAGTCACGTTGGATTCATTGATATCTAAAACGCTGGAACACCCTCGGATGATCAGCTATACAAGATAGCTGAAAACCAAAACACAGGAGTATGGCAAGGAAAAAAAAGTTAAAAATGGAAGGACATTAGAGCACCATTTGGAATACTGCTAGACTTTGAATTTAGTGTAAGGATAACAAATTGCAATTATGTTCTAATCATAGGATTAATCATAATCTTTTGAGAATGAAATCTATTGAGATTTTAGTGATAAGGAGGGTAAGGGACAACTCTTTCATGGACTTGGGAATAAAAAAAAAAGGAAGTTTGAGCGCCAAAAGAAGGGTTGTATATGAATTTGGGACAGAGTGCTACCATAATAGTGAAGGGGCTAAATGGCTTCCAAAGTTGTGTATATAAAGACATATAGGGCACTTGATCCAAATGATTTCAACTCAATTTACAAGATTTTCATCACAACAGCATGGTAAAGTATTAAATTTCGGAGAATGACAAAAGTATAGCCCCATTATTCTGAACCTTTCTAAAGATTCACTCAAGAATTAAACAAGTCAACATTCTAAAAACTGAATAGAGATTAAAATCTTAAGTAGACCACCTAAAGGAAGTGATTGAAATTGAAAACATGAAAAGGGTATACAAGAAACTCATCAAATCGTACCTGCCCTCATCCTCAGAACACCGATTCAGTTTCAATTGGGATCCATACATGCATATTAATGTATAATCACACACAAATTTTCTTCAAAAATAAAACTTTTTAACAGTAAATTAAAAAAAATTATAAATACTTAAAAAGAGAGGTATGTAAATAGGATAAGAGTTATGATTATTTATTTACGGTACGATTTGAGATAAATATATATTAAAAGAAATTCATATCATTCATCATAAATATCAAAAAGGATAAAATTAATGGTTTCAAAGAGAAATTGATAAAGATAAGTTGTTGATTCCTTACTGACCTCAATTTCAGAAGTGGAACTGAACTGAACAGGAAAAGGAAGATGAGGGAACTGCAGAGAACAGAGGAAAATTAAAAAAAAAAAAATTAGACCAATTTCTCGTTTTATTCATGGCAACCTTGCACAGGGGCCATGATAACCTTATCTGATTTTGGTATAAATAAACTCTCTGATTTTATCTGGTTCTTTGAGGTTTATAATTCATTAACAAATTTTCCCTTCCATATTAATGTTAGTCAAGTTCAATTTTTACTTATTTTATTTCAATAAATTAAAATTTTGAAGTACCAATTAGAATGACAATGCAAATAAGGAAGTGTATTGGCTCCACAACACACGAACCATTCAAGTCAGGAGTACGATTCAAAAGCGAAATCTCAAGGATTTACTTCCTAAATTTCTGTCAACGCCGTTATAACCTTGGGGCATGGAGGTTTATAAGGTTAAAGTAGTAAATTTATTTAAATATGATGATAAAATAGTAGTAATATTTAAAATGTAAGTAATTTTTTTTTTAAAACGGTCTACATTTTTCTTTAACCATAGGTTGAAATTTAAAATAATTTAATTTTTCCAATTTTCTTACTTATTGTAGAAATGGGCAGATTAAGGTTAGTAGTATATTGTGGAGGGAAAAAAATCCCCCCTTCAGTAAGAATCGTCTACGTCATCACACTACAAAATTATCTTAGATACAGCAAAGGCCCAATCGGTGTCAAGCCCAAATTGGGAAAACCCAGTCTGGAACAAGCCGAGACAAAGTCTTGGCTTCCATATAGACTGCTGACCCAAGCCATCCGGCCCACTTACTAAGCCCAGACGTCAACAGCCCGGGACGCCAAGGGTGAACTCCAAGCCCATTTACTGAATCGTCTGGATCAGCCCACATTCAGCCCAATCCTAATTAAAGGTAGACTAGTCCTGTTAGACAAAGGAATCAACAAAGAAAGCAAGTTATGTGCAAAGAAAGTTCTGCATGGAAAGAATTGTAAAAAGGAAAGGATTATAATTGTAAAGAATGTCATGTATGGAATGGATTGGAGAACCATTCATGCGAATCCTACCATAATTCCACCACCTTGTTTCTTATAAATAGAGGCCTAAACCTCCAATAAAAGCATCTAGCATTATACACTTATTTCTAAGTATTATATTAACTTGTTTTAAGTGAGTTGTATTTATTCTTTTTATTTATTTTAATAGAGAGAAATTTTGCACTTACACTTTGGCGCCGTCTGTGGGAAACGTATAGAAAGATACTCCCACTTTTGTTTCAAATTGTTTTTGTTTCCACGATCTGGAATGTCGAACGGAGAATCAACGGCGGCTGATCAGCAGATAGAGTTGATGCAAAAGATACGAGAAGAGTTCTTGCACCAATTTGAAGCACTTCGTCAGGCGAATGAAGTCAGCGTAGCCCAAATTACATTGCTTCAACGGCAAAACGACACCCTTCAAACGGCTATGGCTCAGTTGACACCTCAGCCACCACCATATGATGTGGCTGCGCCTCTTCTTAACCAAAACGAGCCTCAAATCAATCGGGTTCGGCTTAATGAAGTTCGGCCCAGCGAAGTTCAGCAAGAGTAGAGGATACGGTCCGAGGCGGTAGCTTCGGACAATCTTCCTCGTTGTACACAGGATGAACAGGACGAGTCCAGCCGTAAGCTTACCGTATGGTCTAATAGTGTTCCAGATGGTGCAAGAGTAAAGGAGGCATTTGACGAAAAGAGACTCCTGAGAGTTCAAACGCCTGCCGAGATGGCCAAGGAACATAATAATTCTCTCGTGAAGACCGCATTCACTGATGATGTGTACCATGTTGACAGACCTAAGAAATTCACTATGCCTTCTTTTACCTAATTTAATGATACGGGAGATCCTTCTCGGCACCTAGATCACTACGCACAAAAGATGGCCCTAGACGATCACAATGACCCATGAATGTGCAAAGTTTTCCCTACCAGTCTAACAGGGGTTGCACTGGAGTGGTTTAGAAATAGGCCACACAAATCTATTCTAGACTATGAAACTCTGTGCACTATGTTCCTGGCGCAGTATTGCGGTAATAAAAAGTAAAAGAAGAGTATTACTAACCTTTTCACTATAAGGTAAAAGAAAGAAGAAATATTACAGGAATTCTTGTCCAGATTTAAAATGGAGGCTTCGAAAATAACAGCTTGCCATCCTGCTATCGCAATAGAAACTTCAAAATTGCAGTGATTCAAGGAACCAAGTTCCATACATCCCTAGTTAAATATTTCCCTCCGGATATGCAGATTCTTAATGCTAGGACACAGATCTACATTCAGCTTAAGGAGAATGTGGTCCACTGAGCGCAACATGCCACCTTCGTCACAGTGGAGAACAAGCCTCAGGAAAGGGTTTCAACCTCAAAAAGCTGAAAAAGCCAGCATGCTTCAACACCAGTCATTCAAATACCCGAGAAAAGGCAAAGGATAGAGGAAAGGTTCACACCTCTTCGCACAACCTTGGCTCGTCTATTCCATGAGAATAAGATGATGTTTGTAGCCCCTCAGCCAATAAGACAACCTTTGGAACAGAAAGATAAGAACAAAAACTGCGCCTACTATAGAGATTACGGGCATACAACTAATGATTGCAGATCCCTTAGGCGGCAGGTAGAAAACATGATAATGAGAGGTGAATTGACAGACTACCTCACAACAAAGGACTACGTGAAGCCCCGGGAGGTCAATCCTCGGAAAGTCGATGGTAATCAAGCGAAGGTCATCCATGCAATACATGAAAAATCGGAAGATGATCAAGAGTCAGAGGAGGTATATAGGTTCCGATTGAGAACAACCCATTAACTAAGGAGGTTATTCTCAGTGAACGTTATCGCTTTGGGAAGCGTCAACATTAGGTTCGGTAATGGAGATCTATCCAGAATTCAACTCCCCCACGAGGATCCGTTGGTCATCAGTCTCTTGGTGGCGAATTGCATGATTAAGAGGGTTTTGATAGACCCGAGTAGCAGTGCCAACATCATCACAAAGGCGGTCTTTGAGCAGCTGGAAATTCCGTCATCATCAATTCGGTCCACCTCCAGCCCCTTGATGGGGTTTGATGGCACAAAGGTGGACCCCCTTGGGGTAATTGACCTATCCGTAACTGTGGCAAAGAGGACACTGAAGGACAACTTTGTTCTAACGGAGATCCACCCTTCATATAATCTTATTATGGGAAGGGGCTGGATCCACTAAATGAACGGGTTCCATCTACCCTTTATCAAGTGATGCGATGCTTGTCTCCGGACGGTAAAGAGGTTATTGATCTTAGGGGAGATCAGGTCGCTGCCAAAGAATGCTACATGTTGACACAGAATGAAGCAAAGAAGGTAACAAAATAGTCTCAACCAATCACACCTCCTGGGAGCATGTCCAAATAGCAATTACAGAACCCTCTGCCCAGGTATCTGAAAGAAGCAGAGGATGAGGCCGAAGCTGAAAAGCCTACCGAGGAGTTTCTGGAGGCTGTCGAAGTAATCCTCGGCAATCCTCAGAAAGTCACCTACATAGGTTCTTCCCCCATAGCCGAATAAAAGAAGGCATTAATTGATGTTATTCGACGGAACGCAGATGCATTTGCTTGGGAGCATTCAGATATGGTAGGAATCAATCCTTCAGTCTCATGCCATAGCCTGAATGTGGATCCAGCGTTCAAACCAGTTAAGCAGAGGCATAAAAGGTTCGCTCTTGAGCGCAACTGAATTATAGCTGAAGAGGTAAGCAAATTGCTTCAGGCGGGCTTCTTCCGAACGGTGCACTACCCACAATAGCTCTCTAATATGGTGGTAGTTCAGAAGAAGAATGGAAAATGGAGGGTGTGCATAGTTTTTACCAATCTCAACAAAGCCTACCCTAAAGACAGCTTTCCATTACCCAAAATAGATCAGATGGTTGATGCTACTACTAGTTTTGAAAGGCTCATATTTCTTGATGCATACTCCGGCTATAACCAAATCCCTATGAATCCAGAGGATGAAGAGAAAACTGCTTTCATAACAGAGAAAGGTATTTACTGTTATAGAGTTACACCTTTTGGACTCAAGAATGCTGGGGCAACTTATCAATGCCTTGTTAACAAGATCTTCAACGAGATGTTGGGAAAGACGGTCGAGGCTTATATTGATGATATGGTGGTCAAAAGTGTGAAGAAGGAGGAACATCCTAAGCACCTCCAAGAGGTCTTTGACACTTTGAGAAGGTTTGGTATGAAGCTAAACCCTTCGAAATGCTCCTTTGCGGTTTCTTCAGGACAGTTCCTCGGCCATATTGTAAACAAAAGGGGAATTGAGATAAGTCCGGCTCAGGCTCAGGCCCTTATACAAAATCAAGAGCCAAAAACTCGCAAGAAAGTACAGGTTTTGACTGGCCGAATCGCAGCTCTCAGTTGATTTATCTCTCGATTGTCAGATAAGTGCAAACCATTCTTGATGCAATAAGGTCCAAAAACAAAGACATATGGGGACCTTAATAGTAGGCTGCTCTTAATCAACTGAAGTGCTACATGGCTGAACCCCCGATTCTGTCAGCTCTGAAATCTGGTGAAACTCTTATCATATACTTAGCCATCTCCAGCATAGCCACAAGTATAGTATTAATTAGAGAAGAAAGTAAGAATTAGTATCCAATCTTCTACACCAGTAAAACAATGACAGATGCAAAAACACGATACAACAAAGCAGAGAAGATCATACTAGCATTGGTGTATGCAAAGAGAAAACTTTGACACTACTTTGAGTCGCACAACATCAAAGTTCTTACCAACTACCCCATGCGAGTCATTCTTTCCAAGCCAAATTTATCCGGAAGAATAACGAAATGGGCAATCGAACTCAGTTTCTTTGATATATCCTATGAACCGAAGGTGTCACACAAAGGACAAGCACTGGCTGATTTCCTCTTGGAGTATGAGGATAAGCCCAAAGAGCCAGGCCCTTCCGAGCTACAATGGGAGCTTCGGGTGGATGGTTCGTTGAACCTTTATTAGTTCCAAGGTCAGAGTTGTTATCACAACCCCCGAAGGCACTAAGCTGCAGCGATCAATCCGTCTGACTTTTCCTACCACTAACAATGAGGCAGAATATGAGGCCTTGCTCGCAGGACTCCAGTTAGTAAGCCAGCTTCAGGTAAGGTGTCTAAAAGTTTTTAGTGATTCTCAACTTGTTGTAAATCAGGTAACAAGCCAGTATCAGCCCAAGGAAGATAGAATGAAAGCCTATAGGGAGGCTGTGGAGAATACCTCACGAGGGTTCGATCAAATCGAATTCCATCAGGTACCTCGCGAGGAGAATTCTGAAGCAGATCAGTTGGTTGCAGCAGCGTCTTCTTTAGATGAAGATTTGGTCTGGATCGTACCAATTGGCATCCTAGACGAACCAAGTATTAGCCCTCGGCAGGAGATAATGGTGATCCCAGATGTTCCACGCGAACCATGCTAGGTGGATCCATTGGAAGCTTACCTTAAGGAGGGGACTCTTCCGAACCAGGAGGCCGAGGCACGGAAACTCAGGCTCACCGCAGCCAAATATGCTATTATCAATAATCAATTATATCGGAAGTCATTCTCAAATCCTTACCTGAAATGTTTAAGTCCCACTGAGGCCCTCACGATTCTAAACAGATTTATGATGGGGATTGTGGCAATCACGATTCTAAACAGATTTAAGGTTATTTTTGGCCTTATTTGGCTCAGAATGCTGAAGAGTATGCCAGAAGATGCGATAAGTGCCAGTGACATGGTCCAATAAAACATCAACCCGCTGAAGATTTGCACGTAAAGGTGAATCCATGGCCATTCGCTCAATGGGGGATTGATATAGTCGGTCATTTACCCAAAACTGTGGAGAAAAAGGAATACGTGTTGCTAGCCACAGATTACTTCACTAAATGGGTTGAAGCCGAAGCTTACATAAGCGTGACCTATGAACAAGTGAAGAGTTTTCTATGGAACAACATAATCTGCCGATTTGGGGTGTCGAATGTTATCATGATGGACAATGGCCCAAACTTGGATAACCGAAACACAAGAAAGTTCTTCGCCAAGCATGGGATTAGGCAGAAGCTGGCTACAGTTAGCCATCCTCAGGGAAATGGGCAAGCTGAAATAACTAACCGAACCATTTTTAGCTGCTTGAAGAAAAAGTTGGAAAAGCTTAAATCAAAATGGTACGAGAATCTACCTCAGGTGCTTTGGGCATATTGAACCACCCTACGAAGGCTAACGGGAGAAAGCCCTTTTGCCATGGCCTATGGGTCTGAGGCTGTCATCCCCATAGAATCGGCAGTTCCAACTATTCGGACCCACTTGGTGCTCGAAGGTAACAATAATCAACAGCTTGAACACATCCTCGATCTCTTGGAAGAAAAGAGGGATGCCGCAACAATTAGGCTTGCTTCGTACCAGTAACAGTTGTGTAACAGTTACAACAAGCGAGTCAGGTTCAGACATTTTTTGGAAGAAGATTGGGTGCTAAAACAGGAAACAGCCCATGTAAAAAAGTACAACCCAATTGGATTGGACCTTAGAGAGTTACAGAAGTAGTAGGGAAAGGAGCTTACCGATTGGCGGAAGCTGATGGGTGTCCAATCGCACGTCCATGGAATACAATACACTTGAAAAGGTACTATCATTAGATAATATGGTTTACTTATTTTTCATTTATAGACAACATACGTCTGTTTTCTATCCAAGTATGGCTGTTTCTAGGCCCATATAATAAAAGTTTCTTGAGTTATACACATCTTTACTCTTTTTACTTTAGTAATATGGGGTATTACTTGTTGTTATTTTCTTTTGTCGTCATAGGGGGTAATACATGTACCCTACTATTGATATTGCGACAAAAGCATGTACCCTATTACTGATATTATGACAAAAGAAAGATATTACCACAAAACAAACAAAACAAAGCTATATAATTTTTTTGCTTTTTGGTGATACTTACAAATCCTTTTTCATGAAAACGTACTTTAGAGTGCATGTGCATTACAATGAATGCCCATTGAACATTCAGGCTCTACTTAAATCATGGACCCAAAGGCACTTTACAGTTTTTCTTTCGTTTTTAGACATAAACCGCAAATATGTGTAGCTCAAAGCACTTATCTACTGTGGTCCCACATCGAAAAAAAAAACTACTTCTATTCATACCTTTATATAGGAAAATATTAAAGTATTTGGGTGCATTGCAAAGAGGGCTCGTTGGTAACAGTAACGGCCCAGCCCAAGTTGTGTTCAAAGCCCTAGTACCAACGGGCATTCTTTGCAATAATTTTTGTTCTTTCTTTCCAAACAAACCAAGTTTTTGGCCCATAGTAAAATATATTCCTTATCCCATATCGAATAGGAGTACAAGAGGTATATAGTAAATATAAAGTTAATATACCACATTTGGTTGCCACGAAGAGAGTCTCTGTGAAGAAAAGTCTCCCAAACAAATGAATGAGGGACTTCTCAGTTACAGTTACTCTCTTTCTTAGCCTCATGTCATTTTCGAATTTTCGGCTAGCCTTACATACTTGATAAGGTTTCTAGATCAGGCTTATAGCCGAGAAATATAAAGCTTCGAACCTTAAGAGTCCGACATAATACAATTCCTCTCAGGCCCATAGCTGAGGAGTGCATTTCTTTAAACCTCAAGAGTCTGGCACAATACAGTTCCTCTCAGGCCCATAGCCGAGGAATACATCGTTTTGGACCTCAAGAGTCCAGTACAATACAGTTCCTCTCAGGCCCATAGCCAAGGAACACATCACATCGCTTCAGACCTCAAGCGTCCGACACAATACAGTTCCTCTCAGGCCCATAGCCAAGAACGCATCGCGTCGGACCTCAAAAGTCCGGCACAATACAGTTCCTCTCAGGCCCATAGTCGAGGAACACATTGCTTTGGACCTCAAGAGTCCGGCACAATACAGTTCCTCTCAGGCCTATAGCCGAGGAACGCATCGCTTCGGACCTCAAAAGTTAGACACAATACAGTTCCTCTCAGGCTCATAGCCAAGGAACGCATCGCTTCGGACCTCAAGAGTTCGGCACAATACAGTTCCTCTCAGGCCCATAGCTAAGGAACGCATCGCTTCGAACCTCAAGAGTCTGGCATAATACAGTTCCTCTCAGGCCCATAGCTGAGGAACACAATACAGTTCCTCTCAGGCCCATAGCTGAGGAACACAATACAGTTCCTCTCAGGCCCATAGCTGAGGAACGTATTGCTTCGAACCTCAAGAGTCCGGCAGAATACAGTTCCTCTCAGGCCCATAGCCGAGGAACTCATTGCTTCAGATCTGAAGAGTCCGACACAATACAGTTCCTCTCAGGCCCATAACCGAGGAATGCATCGTTTTGGACCTCAAGAGTCCGACACAATACAGTTCCTCTCAGGTTCATTACCGAGGAACGCAACGCTCGGACCTCAAGAGTCCGGCATACAACAGTTCCTCCCAGGCTCATAGCCAAGGAACACATCGCTTTGGACCTCAATAGTCTGGCGCAGTACAGCTCCTCCCAAGCTCATTGCAAAGGAACATATCGCTTCGGACAACAGGAGTCCGATGCAATACAATTTCTCTCAGGCTCCTAGCCAAAAAATATACCACCTCAGACGATTTGAGTCCGAGGCTACGCCAGTAAGGAATAAGACCAACTGGGGGCAAAAGTTCCATATGGTAACACGCCCACAGATCCTTTTTTAATGGACTAATGGTATATAACTCGTGAAAAGTTTTGTCACACATCGAAATAATACAAGGAAGGCAAGTATTGATATATCTATGCCATACGAATCAGTGGCAAGAAGGTTCCCTTGACGGTTAAAATACTAGACGGAGAAACCATCCACAAACCATCCACAGATATTGATTAAACAGTCAAAGAGAGTCCCTTCTTACCATTTTTCCTGTTTTTGCTTCGGATCACAAAAGGTACGAAGTTCTCAGGCAATGAGCCTTACTCCTCGAGGATAGGAGCACATTATTACAATGTAATAGTGTAAACATCAAAAGCATTCACAAGCATGAAAGATACTTCTAAATAAATGTAGTTATTGCATTTCAAGAACAAAAATACATATAGTTTCTACATTCATTCTTTCAAAACAAAATAAAAAAAAATTACACTACTCTACTTCCTTTTTAGATCAAAGGGAGCAGAGTCAAAATCATCCACTACATTTGGATTTATAGATAAAGGAGTCGGCAGGTCAGAAGATGGAGGAGCAGGTAAGCTTGAAGCTGGATGACCCTGTGGATGAGCCTTCACCATCTCAGCAAAGAGCACCTCAGCCTCTTGGGCTTTTGGACCCTCAGCATAAAGGAAGGACACCTCCATGTCAGCATCAAAGGCTTCTGCATTCCTTTGCTTTGTCACCAGAGCCCTGGCTGAAGCCTAACCTAAAAGCCTTTGTATTGGATAAGCGCACAATAGTGAAGTAGCGTCCTTGCATTTGCTTCTTAGCAGTAATGCAGGTACCAATAGCATCACTTAAGCGCTGGACTTCAGCTTCCAGAGTCTCCACCTTTTCCTCAAAAGCTGCCAGGCGATTCTTACAGACATCCCTCACATCAGAAGCAATCTCGCATTCATAGCAACATACGAAGCCTTCTTCTCAGTATTACCCAAGTCTCTTTCCAGTTTCTTAATGGAAAGAGACTAAGCTTCAGCAGTGGCACATAGTGCCATAGTCTAGTACAGACTCTGCATAATCAACAATGACAATATTAGTAAGTGTGCGGTAAAAAGAAATCTGAAGAATTAAGCAAGTGGAGGGAAAATAATAAACCTTCACAGCATCAACTAGGGCGGATGGTAGTAGCTGATCCAACCCCAGATTCCCAATGATCTCTTCATCCTTGGGTAGCTACATCCCTCGCGCAACTGCCAAGGTAGTAGAGGGGTCAGAGATTATTGAATCCCCAGAGTGAAGGACTGACTTGTCAGCCCTTGAGAAGATAGGCCTCCAAGGTTCTCCAGATTCAGCTTGAGCATAAGCCCGCACTTCCTCCTCTAAGTCAGTTTCCCCAGCCTTTTTCCCCTTGCTTTTGGGGATGTTTTTGCCCTTACTGCTAGAAGGAGGGTTCGAACTTGTCTTCTTAAGAAGAGGTTCATTTACCTCCTTCTCATGCTCAGTCGACCTAATGACTAGCAGGAGTTGCTCTTCAGCAGCTTTCTTCTTCAGAGCTTTAGCTCTTTATTTTTCCTCCTCAGTCAGGGGGAAGCTGTCAAAGGATGGAAGTGCCAAGTCCATAAGGTCTGCAGTTGCGGCACTGGAAGCAATTTCTTGAAGGTTAGATGAAGTGAGTAGCTCTTCAACCGAAGGGGGCTCGCTCTAAACTTGTGTTTCGAGAAAAGTAAGTCTCTTCTTAGCTACAGAAGAGGGGAATGTTGCTGAAAGAAGATCAAGAAATTCATAAGTATGACGAAATAATAAAACTTGACATGGGAAACAACCTAAACACTTGTCATGAAATGAGGGAAGATATTCTATACCTAGCTTCCCAAATTTGCAAGGAATGGGGAGGCTATTCGATTTATCCACGGACCAATTCCCCTTCACAATTATCATCCTCTCTTCCACTTCTTCTCGGAGGAAGAAAGATCCGTACATAGCCTCTGCTGAAAGAGGGGAAGTGAAGTAGAAACAGCTAGGCTCAGTCCCATACCTGGCGATGGTGTAGGTAATGAGTGAATTAGCAAGAGTCAAGTTAAGACTCTCCAGCCTTCGGCGAACTAGAAATGCCGAGACCACTCGAAAAAAGTTAAGGTTTACTTGGAGAAGGGCAAGTCCTGACTTATTAAAGACTAGATGATAGAAGGGGTGAAGAGGAAATCGAAGAGCGTTTAGATGCCCAACTGATAGAAGTAATTCATTGTCCCCTACACCTTCGCCAGAACTAAATCAGCCCTTTCTGGGTATTCGACAATGTCTACCCCATCAGGAATCTCAAAATCCTGTATTACAAACTCAATAGAGAACTTAATACGCCGAACAGACAAAATCAACTCTCTCTACTCTTTAGAAAACACACAATCTGACCCAGAAGTGGATACTTTAGCTTGTGAAGGAGAGGCATCCATTTGAACAACTGAATCATTTATGAATTTAACGAGGTCAGAAACCCTAAGGAGAGGGATCCTAATGAGATTGGGAGAAGAAGAAGGTATGGAATCCGAATCTACAAGATCTATACGGTCATGAGTGGGTG